ATACCTGACAATGTTGCATTATTAATTTCATACATGCTTAGTATACATCTCAGATCAACGGAAAGCGCAGTCATGGAGGTGACATGTTGCAAGCTTTAGAAGTCTCACACAATCGGCAAGAGATAATTAGCGGCACTTCAGGGCATAAATACATAAAAGCGAATACCTTGCCCCATGAGCTGATTGATTGACACCTAATGCCACCATGACAGCACAGGAGAACCATAAACTTGCATAGACCCCAGTACAGGGCAGAGGTCAGCGCTACTTTGGCTGTTAAACACAGCTTCGGTTGTATCTGAAACTCAACCCTGAGCTTTCCAGGAAGTTAGTCCCAGTCACTATATCAAACTTAATTTAACATCAAACTTTTCCTTACGTTTATAGTTCCACAGGCCTATTTTGCCTTGGAGTCGCATGCATTAATTGTTCTGCGAGTTTGCCAGAATGACATATTTAGCTTCTCATCTAGGGACCATATTTTATTTGAATGAACAGGCACTTTCTTTTGATAGTATTTGTCCAAACTAGATGAGTGTCTCTAACTTTCCCTACAATAAGCCATTTTATATGAAACCACTAAATGACTTTGTTTACATCGCAATGACAGAATTATGCCAAGTTTAGAAAAATGTGGAATTCCCCTTTAAATGTTTCTGTTGCTTTAGAAAAGCTTATGGAATCATTTATTTGTGAGTTCAGACCATGCCTTCAACATGGTGGTAGTATGAGGGAAGACTCTTATGCAACTATTTTGTAATACAGCGTTGCTGCAAAATTTAAAAATCTAATTCAGTTCTTTTAAATACCTGTTTATAGTAATTAACCCATAACGTTTTAAAAAATGTGTTAAAAATACATTTTTTTACAATTACTATTTTACAGTTGCTTCATTTTTTTAATGAAGGTATAATTTTATCAACTTTTAAAATAATAATAAAAAGAAGGAGAACAAGAACATTAATAAGTATGCATAAATTACAGTAATGTAATTTAAAGGGGTATGGAAAATCACTATCTTACAGTTTTGTATTTCCTTGTTAATCTGTTAAAAATTCAGAATACTTCTACATTCAAATAATCTACTCTGCAATCCAAAGCGTAGCCCATGAAAAAGCACCCACATAGCTTTCAAAAAATATAGATTACAGTTATTGTTTATTGTTTTTACAACTGTGTATATGCAGAGTACAATAGCGTCATCACACTTGATATGTTCTACAGAAAGAGAAAAACATGTTAACTGACTTTGTGTAGAAATTTGAAATATACTGCAATAAATACACAGTTCCACAAACCAATGAATCTGATTTTAAGGTCTGCTGTTACTCCGTATATAAGATATGATAAAGTTATTAGCAATATAGTACTATGAACAATTATAAATGATAGGAAACTATTTTAAGACAAATTCATATGGACTAAAAAGAAAAACTGACCAACAGAGTAATACAGAGGTCTGAACCCCAGCAGCACTCCTAACATACCTGAGCCAGATAATGATCAGCTGTCAAACAATTAATACCAGACTCAGATGTGCTGGCAGCTGGAATAGAGCCAAGCTGGGGACATTTTATGTGGACATATGTGGACACAGATAACTCGATGTGCATATGTCCATGCCATAATGCCTGAACACTAACATTACTGATATCACACTGCTAATGTTACCGATCTCTCCTTTCAGAGTTAAATCCGTGATGAGTGAGAGAGCTGTCAGATTCACAGCCCATCGCTTCTTCCTCTGTTTTTTCTCAGTGTTGGTCTTCTTTGTCAGAGATATGAGAAAAATGCATCTGTTGAAAAATCAATTTTAAGACAATAAATTTGAAATTACTTTTGGATCTGCGTACACAAGCAGGCTGAATTTAAAGGGGACCTATTATGCTAATTTCCAATGTCCATAAATTTATTTTTGGGGTCGACTATAATACATTTACATGCTTCAGTGTTGCAGAAACACATTTTTCTCATACTGTAAATCCCTACTCACCCTCTGTCTGAAACGCTCTGTTAGAGCTCCTGTGTCTTTAAGCCCCTCCTTCCTGATGAGCCCAGTACGCTCAGATTAGTCAGCTCGCTCACTTGGCTCTGACTGATGAAGCACCAGAACGGTTCCGCCAATACACGGCCTCCGGTAGATGCGTTGCGTTGTGTGAGGGCGTGCCAAGCTCGCTGGTAGGTGGGCAATAAGGATTGTGTTATGGGATTACATCATCTTGTAACAAAGGAAAAGGGCTGGGGAACTCCAGCCCTCAGGCAGCTGAGAAAAGTGGTTTCTGTGGGAGAGAGTTTCTCCCTCGTGGCACTCAGCTCACACGCATAGCTGATGTTCAGACAATGATGTTCAGTGTGATGAAAGAAGCATCAGGATGAGGCCACTTGGGTAAGAGCACAGTTGAGTGTTGAGAATGATATGGACTGCCACCATACTGGATGAGGCCCAAAGAGAGGATGTTCCTTTGGAAGGATTGAAAACAAAGTTGATTAGATAATTCACAATTCTATTGTTTTCATCCTCTAACATGCCTCAGTCAACACGTGACAGAAATGATCATTTGCAGCTGAGGCAGGTGTGAGCTTAGTACTGATATCCACCAAATCTAAACATCTGTCTGACATTCATATAGTTTTATTTGAAAAATTAAAACTTGAGTCTCACCAGTTGCTCAGCTTCAGATGATTTCTGATGAGAAACATCTAAAACAAAAACACACATGAGGTAAATGCAGCAAAACAACAACAGCAAAGCATAACAATGAACTTAAACACAAAACAAACTAGTCATTATATATTACTAATAAATGTAGCCGAGTAAAACATAGATTATTAATATAAAGCACAAATAATACATTTTAAAAATACTCTAGAAAGTACAAATCCACCAAGATGTTACTGGAGTAAATGTAACTGAGCAAATTAAGATCATTACTACCATCTCTGAACTACACAGACTGACGGACTGTGTTCAGTCTCATTGTTGTACTGTTCAGTGTGCTGACCCTGCTGCACTGTGATCAGTCTTAGATTTAATTCTGAGGCAGCCTTTCATTTGTTCCAGCTACCTAAATGCTTCAACTGACTGATTCTGCTGCACACTAGCACAGTATCTCACCTGTCCATCCTCCAAACCTTATGAGTGTCCATGGCTGCACTGCTGGGTGAGACAGCTGTACAGATGAGAAGCTGAGCGGTCACTATGGTTACAGGGCGCTGCTGGGAGCGGGTGCTAAGCAACATCTGACGCAGCCGCGAAGCATAAACAGACAAGCCGCTTAGCCGCTAGCTAGCTAACTATACGCTAACCTAACGCTGGTGTCTTCACTCGGCAGATCGACACAGAAATACAGAAAAAACGTTTACTCCAGCTGACTGTTAGTGAGGCTGCTCATCTCATTCGGTCACTACTCACCTTTTAAAAGCAGATTCTGACCGTTGCAGTCGTGACTCCAGTCGCCACTCCACTCGGTCCAGTCAGCTAGTTAGCTTAGCTAACTACGCAGCTGAAAATCCTCGTTTCTGGGAGCTGAAAGCGTCACCCGGCAGGCGGCGCTGTCTTAGTAAGGAGTGTAAGAGACCGTCTTATCAGGTTTAACACTCGCTAAACAAACTCGATAAGATGGCCGCGTTAGCAACGCGAGAGACCCGCTCAATGTAACGGCTGTAACGGCCGCGTTTGGCTTTAAACGGAGGAACGGCGGAGAGCGCTCGCGCTTCAAAACCAAACGTCCAAGCGGCGCAGTCCCGCGCTCTGATTGGTCTAAACTCCCGCCAGTCTTTTGTTTGTCCTCCCATAGATCTTTTTTCTGGTTCGCGCCTCTCTGTACTGAATGAACTGTGCGTTTTTTTTTTTAATCTTTTTTTTTGTTTTAATCTAGACACAATAGAAAACTGCAAACTCTTGAAATACATCAGACAGCTGTACAGCATTATTATACAAAGCATCACTGGAGGCCATGTCTTAATATATTAAAGTCAAAGTATGAAGTTGGACATTTAAACAAAAATCTGTTTATTATGTAATTTTACATGGTGAAACAATGTTGGTCTTTATATTAGTACTCAGATACATTTGTTTGCTATTGTTTGTGTTTTCCAAATACCTGGAGATAATCATTTTGAAAGTTATACATGGTATATAAAAAAGTTTTTCTTTTTCTGTTGGGCCAAATTAAAAGTCCTAATGGTCAAACTTTGGGCAGCCCTGATCTGCTTAAGAAAATAAACAGAAGTGTAGATGTTGAAGAGAGTGAACCAAGGGCTTTTTCTGCATTAGGTTTTGGTGGTATGAGATCTCTAAAGTACCCAGGTTAGCTGTTAAGTACATTTACCTCCTATTAGTTCAAAGTTGTTTTTTCTTGGTTCCTAGCTTGTCGTCTCTGGTTACAATTGTACATTTGAAAATAGATCAATGTTGTGTTAATCATAGCATGTTTTCTGCAAATGAGCAAAAGGCTGTGACTGACTGTGATTTTTAATTTATCTCCATTGGTAAATGTTACAGTTATCCTACCATGAACTTCAATGATATAAGGAAACGAGTTTAAACATTTTAAGTGTAGCGCCCCCTCAGACCCATTACCTTACTTTAGGAGTGAGGTGAGTTCTTCGCGTTGACTACAAATTGTAATTTTGAGCAGTTAGTAAGCTACTGGTTTATACCTTTAAATAAATATCACTGAAATGAAATTATGCCCTCTCCCTGTGGTATCACACCTCAGCTATGACACCCCCTTACAAATGTAGCATTATATAAATGTACCAGAACCCACTCAATAGTGTGTATACAGAAATATTCAGAAATAAAGAAAATTAAACAAAAAACCCAAGTGACTGGAAGCACTATTAGCTGATATATTTATTTACACCTTCTCCACAAACCAATCACTTAGTTATGCTGTATGAATGATGTATTTTTGTTTCTTTCCAAGATTCACATAACTACCTAAATATAAATGAAATTTTCAGAATATTATAATGAGCGGTTAAACCCAATGAGCAGTGAATCACCAAATTACATTACTGTTGTGGGCCCACAAACACTCAGGTAACACCAAACAAAAACTATGGAACTTTGGAAGTTCACCAGTATAAACACAAGTAATATGGGGTACCCCTTAGTTTTTATTTCTTTCTTTTATGTACTTGCGTTGCGGGCCCGAACCGCTGCTTGTGTTCGGTGTGGCCTCAAACTACCTGGCCGCTTCGCGCGCCTAACGCAGGGAAAAAAAAAAACACTTGACTCACTCAATGTCCAGGATGGGCGAATAGCAGGGAGGGATGTCTGACTTCCCCTCAGCATGGGGGGCGTCCCACGTTGCCAGAGGAGATCTGAACATTCCCGGTAGTTCAGACCGCTATCTGGGCATTCCCGGGCTGGGGATGTGAACGGGAATGTTTACCGAGTCCTGCTTGTTAGGCAGTAGGCTCCGATGTTTATGCTAACGCTATGCTAACCAGCTGCGCCTCGAGACCAAACTGTTTACTTCGAAGGGAAGTTTCTCGTGGTTCGTTACCTTCCGTCGTGTCAGTAGCTAGTAAAAGTTCTCAGTTCGACAACCCAACACTTCTGGCTTGACAAAGATATATAAATATAACGTGCTTTACGTTACATCCCAGCACAGAGCATCTGCATTGCACTTTTCCCCCTTCTCCCTCTCTTTTCTCCTCTCACCTCCCTCCAACACGCACTCCCCGCCCCCTTTAGACACAGAGCCAATCAACAGGTGAGTACAAAACCTAACAATGATCGACAACTATATTTAGCAAATCAAATACGTTTTAACTCTGAAAAATATATTTTAAATCCCTTAACACTTTTATGCAACTATTTTAACCCTTTTAATTTTTAACACAAACACCTTTACCATACAAAAACAAAAAAACAACAGTATATATTCCAGTATAGCCCACAAAAATGTCCCTAGGGCTACATAAGGTAAGGTAAATGGTTAAAGAATTGTTCTTTTCTTTTGCTGTTTTGCTACTGTAAACACATTTCTGCAATAATCAAAAAACAAAACATACAGAGAATCACAAAAGTACAGCAAGTAAAACCTCAGTGAATGTTCTTTTAGTAATATCACACAAAAACCATAAGATTCCAGCAGGCTGTTTCTTGAGGACAGCTTATATTCTCTCTTATATAGTTATATTCTCATTATGTTCTACATTAGGCAGTGCTGTGGTAATCCTGGTAATCCTCTGTTGTAATTTTCAGTTTGGCAGTACCACAGGAATACCACACTCATACCACAGGACCTTTTGTAATGGACCACTCTTTGGACTGAACTGAACTGTCTTAAGACACAACATCTCTGTGTCTTAAGACAAAGTGATGTCTTAAGTCATGCCTCGTCTTCAAGACACACAAAATAATTACTTCTTTGTCTTAAGATGTTAACTTTCATGTCTCAAGACAAAGACAGTGTCTTCACTCATACGTCTTAAGACGTTCTTGAGATGTCCTGGCATAAGAAAATGTCTCAAGACATCTTATAAATACTGTCAAGACATCTTAAGACACAGTGACAGCTGGGTATGAAGAGGTCAGGAGACCTGCAGTTGCGAATAATATACGGGGCAATAGCCACAAACCAGCACACCGCACACTTTGTTCAGGAAGTGGACGTGGGCTGCCGCTTCTGCTCCAAACCCGAGACTTTGGTACATCTGTTTGCAGAATGCTCATGGCTGAACATCTTATTTGGTGCTTTACACAGACTATGTATGAATCTTGGCATGACTTTCACCTACAGTCTGTTCATGCTGGGGCCAAAATACATTTTTTCACAGCGGGCCAAATGTTGTCTTTTAAACTTTGTGTTTGGTCAAACCAAACTGGTCATACAGCTAACAAGGAGGAACAAACTGAGGGGACAAGGTCTTACAGATCCTGACGTGATGCTGAAGAGTCTTATTAAAGCATGTGTAAAAGTGGACTTAACTTATTATAATGCGATGAATGACTTGTTAACGTTACAGAATATGTTCGTGTGTTGCAGAAACGCTGTGTTGTGCAGAAAATGGGGAATTTATGATGTGTATGTGATGCTTTCAGTTACACTCTGGAGAAACGGTGTTGGCTCGGAGGTCTACTTAAGGTTTTTATAGTACAGCAGCTGAATATGTGGTGCAGGATGAGAACAGAAAGATTCCCAGTGTCAGAAAACAGAAGAAAGAACTGATTAGATTGCTGCATCCAGATTTAATGGCCCATCAGCCACTGCTCACTCCTCCACACTTCACACTCCACAGCATACAGCCCCTACGTCAACTCTTAGGTCCCTTCCACCACATACAGCTGTGCTCTGATCAAGATGTGGCACAGTTTCCTGCAAATAACAATCCACAGTGTAACCACCAGTTTTCACAAACATGCGCCAGGTAAGTCAGCAGTCTGCAAGGCAAATGTCTTCGAGAGAGTCCTTCCTTGGCTTGCTTTTTCCTTCTGATAGTGGTGAAACCTCTTACAGTGGGCAGGAAGAACATTGTCCCTCCCCTTGTTCCTCAGAAGGTGCTAGGACCATTGAGCAGGGCCAAATCAGTGAACACAAGGAGCCAGTGGAAAAGGCTTCTGTGCCGTGGCAGCCGTGGCAGCCTTGCCCCAAGTGCGAGGCTGAGGTGAGCAAAATAGAAGAATGGAGGCCATATTATCCTGTCTGAGTATGCTCAAACTTTATAAAACAGCGATTCAGTTTTTGTATTGAGAGTTGAAGTGTAATGTTAGCTTGAACTGAACTTATCTTACAGGCTGTGTGCAACCTATGTGATGGTGTGGAGCAGTATTACCAAGAGGCATCCAGTGAGACAGCAACCAGTTTGGGGAAACAGGAGCTGTACCCAGGTTGTGGAGTCTACATCTCTCTTTTCGACTGGCTGCCAGCAGCTCGGCGCTCTGTTAGCAGGGTCTGGGGGGAAAGGAGTGGGACCGGGAGCAACTGTGGCAAAATATCAACTAATCTGGAAAGAAAATCCAACTTATGCAGGAGGAAAACATTACAGTTGCACTGAAAGGGAATGAAAACAGAGACGAGTTTCAGACACCAGGGCGTAAGTGCGCATCGGTTCAGAGAGCGACTCAGGGGTGCTTTTTTTCAGAACTCACTGGAAAGAACAGGTTTATTAGGAAAAGGTTTACTTAGTGACACGAGGTAAATTCTCTGTTGTTTTGACTGTGTTGACCACTGTCACACTCTAACCGAGTCTCTTTGTCTTTAGGTGTAACTGGTGAAGAATCCTGTGGTGTGGATGGTATATTATCCAACATTCCAGTAAGTCCTACTCATCCATTGACTATCCATCATGTTAAACTGCTTAGTTTAAATGACTTTCTCTGGAATTTCTGTAAAACCATATGATCAAAAATGACTAACGTCCAATTGTGAAACACAGAATACATGCTTTCAACACATGCATGCACTCA